GTAATGAGATTAATCTAAATTATTTATCAGGCGCTGACACAGGCGCAAGACATGGTTAATAATGAATGAGGACTGTGTCTGTTCTGCTTTCAAACCCGGGACTTATTTCACTCACTAAAATGTTTTTTTTATTGCATCAATCTTTACCCTTTCCAAAATATATTGCGGGATGGCCTGATTTTCTTTTTGAGTAAGTTTGGTAGTGGGGGGAGGTAGAGGGAGTTGGAGGGTTGGAATGATCAAATGTAGTCTTTGCTACATTTCCCTATACAGTAGGACATGAGTCAGGCTGTGGGTCATATTTCTCCCTGTCAGGAAGGTGGTTTGCTTGTTTGCAGAAGGGCTCCAGGGAGAATGTGTTACAGTGCCTGCAAGTAGGTAACCATGGTAACAATCATATTTTTTTACATGCATATTTAAGGAACAACACTAATGTTAATGATCTGTCCACTGTGCTTATATTGATTATTAATAACTGATGAAGTGTACAACTGAAAAAGGCTCCTGATATCATTGAGGTCCAAGATTTGCAAAACTCCTGTATTAAGGCTGCAATGTTTACAAGGAAATGTGTTGTCTTTATTCATGAAAGCGATATTATGTAAAGCTTGAATCACATGGAATGAAATATTTTTTTGGAGCAAATGTAGAAAAATAACATCCTAAAAGTGAATGGAACTGTACAAACTCATGATGCAGTGCATATGGCGCCATCTCCAGGGCTGGTCAGGTTACATGCATGTTGTCCTGATGAAGGGAAAAAGTGTATGCTCTCGATGGATTTTTTTAAAGTTCCTTTTGTGTTCCATTTCTCAAAGCTATTCCTTCAATTTAGACTGTTAAAGTCTCCTGAAGTTGCAATGCTTTTTAATATGTTAAAGTATATCGCATGGGAGGTGTGCCAGTAAGTGTTGAATTATGTCAGTTCTTGTAATTGGCAGGCTTTTATCTTTCAGCACCTTTAGAATGAATGATACTTAACAGATAAACATGCAGATATTTCTAAAATATTTTAAACTTATTGTCATTTTTAAGATACTAACGTTCAACATGAGATCAGACAATTTTGAAAAAAATATACAGTGGATGAATTAGCTTTTTAATTAGAAATTACTTTCGCTTACTCCTTTTGTTACACTAAAAGTCCTGGGAATGTTTGCTTCAGTACATGTTTTTAAACCACATTGACTCATGGAGCCCAGTGAAAAGTATAATAAATATTATTAAGGCATTAATAACTAACTCATGCCTCTCTTGAGAGGTTCAAACTATTTTTAAAAGTGTAACTTATTACATCATCAGAACAAAGATAACAAAATAAACTTAAATTTCTATCTGACAAAAAAGATGTTGCTTAAATTAACCGTGGTATCACTAGAAATGAAAGTAGACATTTGGCTAAATGCAAGGAAATTCCATGAATTTCTTTGATTTGCCTGTATTCCATTAGCTTTCTGGCAGTATCTTTGAGTACTTGGCGAAGGATGATGTTTACCTGTGTGCTGTTGAAGAAATATGACAAGGGCTGCAGCTAATAGCATTCTAATTTTTTTTAGTAGTCTAGGTATTTCCTGAAGGGATCGGCGCTTTCAGACAAAAATGCTTCTTTCTGCAGACAGTGTGACTGCTGAAATGTATTTCCACAACACAGTTTGCAGACTTATCCAGCAGTCCTGGCTGCAGCACTACTTGTACGCTGCCTTTTCCAACTCTGGTAATTTGCTGTAAAACTAATTGAATTGCATATGCTGTATCTGAACTTCGTCCTTTGTTCTCAGGTGATGTACCAGTCTTTCTTTTGGTATTGTAAGCAATGTTTTAGCACAGTCTTCATGCAACTGATACGACACAAATTACTTTGGCTATATCTAGAATACGGCACACTGTTTTCATTCCTGTAGAAGTTGACCGTATGTTTAAAACAGACTGTGACTCAGTCAGATATTCTGTTCACTTTATTGTCAGTGCAAGGAGTTTAAAACAAGCTCTGGTTGCAGCATACATTGCCTAGTGCGCAATTTTACACAGGTGCTTAGACTTAATTTTCTGGGGGATAAATCACCATTTTCTCGTAAATGAAAAATTACAAAGGTACCCCTTTCAACAAATATTTAATATAAATAAGTTTAGAATGTGTGTTTTGTTCAACAGAAGTTGCCTTTTTTTTAATTGACAATGCAAGACATTTTAGTGCATGTACACATCATGCAATGCAATTTCTTTTTAAACCATGGAACATTTAAGAGAATTTTCAGTCTCCTAAGATCCTTTCTAATAATAAAGTGCTTGAGTTGTCAAAGTGACGGCACAGATGTTCTAATCTGTACTGACACAGCTTCCTAACGCAGCACATCAATCATGTGTTATTAGCTTTAATAGAGCTTGGACATTTTCCGTCACTTAAACATTGCAGTGGTGACAAAAGTGAACCAGAAATGTGCTGCAGGTGTAACCTTCACTCAAACCCCATTTGTGACAGGCATCGCATGGGTCTGCACCATGGAGGAAGGGTGCCATCTTCAGTCTCTTTCCTTTGTTTAAGTTAGTGGCACAGTGATTTTGTGTGAGGATAGTTAAATGGTGATATTTAGTTGTATGGAAGATTTCTTAGAGAAGGATATTAAAAAGAACATTCTATTTGCTTATTTGTTGGAAATTGGTGGGTTTCAGGTATTTTTGTCCAGTTTAAGCCTTCACTTTCAAATTTGTTTCAACAATTTAAGCTTTTCAATCATTGGCATTATTTTTGATAAAAACCGACGGAACTGCCGATGCTGTAAGTCAGGAACAAAAACAGAAGTTGCAGGAAAAGCTCAGCAGGTCTGGCATCACCTGTGAAGAAAATTTCAGAGTTATTTCTGAATTAATTCTTAATCGGATATTATTCTTTTATGATCAACGGGTTTTATTTTAAATGGAATATCTGAAAGTATTAACTAGAAATTCAATTTCTGGCAACAAAATTCTGAGTTCAGATAAAATTCATTCCTGGATCTTTCTTCTATCATTAAATTCGTCGCTGTGGGTCATGAAAGGAATAGACATACAAAGTAATGTTGCGATGAATTCATGGACCTTTAGTGAATTTATGAATACGTAGTCAATTTTATGAACTATAAAATAGACCTCATTCCATTAAGCAAGAAAAGTAAAAGAAGAAATTTCTAACCCAAAAAGAAAGTTTGAATTGTCAACTGTTTGACTAACTTTTAAGGAGTTACGTGATAATTACATTACATTCTTGCAAAAAAAAAATCCAAAGTCCATTCTGTGAGTGAAACTTCACATGCTAAAGAGCAGATGCGTCACAAAGTGACAGCAGGCTAGCAGAGGTTGGGGATGTGGCTACGCCGATGAGCCCTGGGATAAATGCAGCACATTATATATCTAGTGAAAGACAGGAGCTGTTGACGAGGTGACCTCTGAATGTAAGTCAGCTTGCTATAAACAGAAGAGTGTGGAAAGCTATTGGTCAGTCTGAAACTTGTTTACTATTCTGACTATCCTCATGGTAAACTTAAGTCAACAACGCTGAACCTTGGATATGATTACAGCTTTAAAGGGGGAAAAATCAGCAGTATAAATAAAAAACAATAATGTTGAGAAAATAGCCACTTCGCTAAATTCCTAATCTGTGGCATATTCCTAACATTTAACTGGCGATCCGGCCGACTAAGGTAAAGAAAATAAGAAACAAAATTTAATATCTTCCTTGTAGAGGTGAAAACAAAATGAAACTTGTGGAGTTTTAATCGAAGAGTTTTTTTTTTCTGGTAAGACGTTACCTTTTTTTTCACTTCGCTTCCAGTAAAACAATGAGACCGTTGTTTCACATATCTGCCCAATGTCGAGATAATTGAACCGCTTACCTGAGAATTGTTTCCTCAATTCCATTACGGACTGCATGCTGCAATGGATGAGATATTATTATCATTCCAAAGTAACTCTGAAGTCCTTGTAGTGTTAGCTCAGGGAGAAACATTAATTGTTTATAACTTATGCAGTTCATCTCTGGGAATGTGAAAGATAGTCCTGGAGCTTGCTGGTGTTCCTCAGTACGTGCATCCATGCGGTTTGATACTGAAAGGCAAGCTCGTGTTATAGAGATAAGTTACAGTATTTGTAAGGCAAGAGTGTCCTGTTACTTTAGAATTACAGAACTTATTTCTCAGTTCATTGTGTCAAGTGAAAAAAAATCATTCTACCTCCAGTGTCAAACTCCATGAGATATGCTTTTCAATGAGCCTTCTGGCTGCAGTTTTCTTTTTCCTTTTGTACTAGAGGGTGTCTCTACCTTGTTTGCAGCAAAATTTGATGAGAATTGCTAGTTTTCATTTTATTCTTGCAGGCAAATGTTCTACTCATCCGGTTGACATTAAGGTTTAGAATTGCTTTTGCTCAGTGCACACCAGTAAGAAAAATATCTGAAATATTTATGTCATCTTATCTGTAATGATGTCTCATAACAATTTGTTAGAAGGAAGTCAAGATCTACGGAGGGAGGATTAAATTACAAATCCATTCAAAATCATTACAGATATAACAGTAGACATAGACTGAAACCAAAATACTGAAATATTTCAGAAAAAATATGATTTAATTTCTTGATTAAAAATAATAGTTATGCTGGTTAAAAAGACTGTTAACTATGTTTACAACATTTCTTGTTCGTGACATACAAGAAATAATTTGCAGCAATTTGCAAAACAAGCAACCTCCTCCATCTTTAATTTGCGTCTAGAAATTTATCCTAATCAACTGGTTGTCAGAAACATTAATCCGGGTTGGTATGATACTGTTCTGTATATGGCATGTATGTGTGTTGAAAATCGAGTTTCAGCTTAAAGAACAACTGTTGGTGCTTGCAATCTGAGGCCATGTCATGAGTTGGCAAACTGTTTGCTGACTTCTTGAAAGTCTGCTTCATTCACGGGACACAGCCAGTGAGAGGTTACCACAGGAGTGTCTCATTATCAGGCTTGTGGAGGAAACAGAATACCACAGACTGTGCTCTTCTGTGTCTGAAATCAGTTTTTCTCCTTTAGGGCTTTGGATTGTTTTGAGAACCTGACTTCTACTTTCATTGTAATAACAGGTATGGCAGTGTGCAAAGGAGGGAACGTTTTCCTGTTTCACTTAAATCGCTAGTCTTATGTCACAAAACGACAGAGCTCCTGTATGGAATGAACTGATGCTTGGTGTTTAAAACGAGCAGCTTGTTGTGTGGGTTGCCCAGTTGCTTTTCTTCTGTCGATGTTTTTAACTGTAATTTAAAACTTAGCCGTAGTAAAAAAAATTTGGCATTGTATGTTAAGAATATTGGACAGATTATTTTACCTAAATAATCTACCTAAACACCTCCGGAAGTGCATGTTGCAGGGAATGTGAACAACCTTTGACACTTAGTTGAGAGTAAAACTTTAATTATATGAAAATGTGATTTTTTTTGTGTAGTGTACTGTACATATAGTTGCATTTGACACTTTGTCTATCAGTAAATATATTTAGTTCAGTTTGTACCTATCAAAACGACATGACTTAAATGTGTCATTGCATTTTAAATAAACCGTGTCTGCTATTTACTTTGAAGCACTGTAATAAATTTGTCACAGGTATAGTTTTGCAGGAAAATATTCCTAGTTTTTTTGTGTAAATCTCATAAAGCTGCTTAAGTCGCTGAGAAAAAATATATTTCCTTTACCTATACCGAATAACTTTCTGGACATCTAAACTCTGCTCCTGTTATTAAAGGAATAATTGTAAAACAGGTTTTGATTATGATTTGAAACCAATGGGAAAATATTTTTTGAAGCCGTAATGTAGCAACTGCTAAAATTTGTAAAAACACTTTTAAAGCAAACTGATTTTTATAAAACATGCAATTTTCATTTTCTGGTGGTACTACATAACTCTATTTTCATATAACCATTTTAATATTGGTTATCTTTATTGTAGATTGTGAGGAAATTCTACATTCCTTAAACCTATCATAATGTCAGTATTTAATTGTGTGATTACTTGATAACTATACGGACATCTAAAAGACCAAGTTCTAGAAATCTATTAATTTGGATATTTCCTGAGAAAAAGTATATACTTTAAGGCTGCATTCTCATTTGATTGATCATAATTATCATGTTCTTCAATGTTATTCAATGATAATCATCACAGATTTTGGAAACTCACATTACGATGAATATCTTGTATTTTACATATCAGTCATCACATGATTATATTTATTGTCATATAAGGATGGAATAGTTCATTTGTTGCATGCGACTCTGGAATACTGCATTTGGAGTGGATACAATACGGAGTCTTATATCTACTGCTGTGTTGCAACTGTTGTAGAATTTTGCTTTAAATAGTGTTACATCTTTGAGTTCTCTTTTTACTTTGAATTCTATTACTACTTTGAATTCCGTTAAAACAATTTGTTGAGATATACCGTCAATATTTTCTTTTAAATCTGCATATCTGGAAAATCCGAGTACAGCTGCACCATTTAAGTCTGTATGAAAAGCATTTTATTCAAAAACTCTTATGTCGGTTAATTCTATCGAAATAATCGAAGGTCATACCAGACAAGGTAAACAAGGCCAAAGGAATTACAGACATCTTTAAAAATATTGCTGGAAAGTTCATTTGATTCATAATTACACAGAAACAAATTATTTATGGTTCCCCACTGCGGCAGATTGCAAGTGCCTTTGCTGTATGTGACAAAATCTTTTCAGATACAGCTGGCTCTTTGATTTATATTTGCTTTAGTTTCTAAAACAAATAATATAAATTTTCTGTATTTTTACACTGACACAACAGTCGGGCATGCAGGATTCAATGTTCAATTGAAATATGTTGAATTGACGTATACTGGTAATTCATGTTCTAAGGTGATTTACTTGGTAATGCGGATGTAAAATAGTTCATTTCATCGTTACAGTGTAAGGCCTCTGTAATTAATGGTTTATATTCTGGTTAAAACACTTGCATAAAATTTCAAACAAAAACATAAACTACAAAATAATTTCCATCTGAAACTATTTTAGAAGATTTCTGAACGTTTTGTGGGATAAGACTTTTTATTGTGATCACTCGAAGCAATATTGGTGAGAGTATTGTGTTATTAACTGTAAGCTGTTAATAAAACAAACTTCCCAATCGAAATTAAAATGGCAACAAAATTTAAAAGCATCACCAGTAACTCATTTGTTGGCCTCAAGATAATATTCATGTGTAACAGTAACTGTGGTAGACCAACTGTCTGTCAAACCTAATGATAGTTTTGTGACAGTTGTTCAAAGATTAAAACAAACCACACGAAACATGTGGTAAGTTGAATAAATTTTGTTCTAAGTGAAGACGATGAAAACGTGCAGGTAATTCAGTCGTTCCACGACATGCTCTTAATGTTTTATTGTTGAATCACAGAGATATCGCTTTAAGAAGAAATAAATGCTGAAGGATTTGTTTCTTTTAAGATGTTCTGCACCTTTTTTATATAAGCCCTTGCATTTGTCCAATTTCCGTGTAACACCTTTCAATCTGTTTTACAATTCCTCACAGATATTTATAAATAGTTAGAGAAGATAACTAAGCAATACATGTATGAATTGATGCATTTATAAGGCATTAAATACTCTTATATACTAAATAAAACCCAAGATTTCCAGGTTGAGCTATTTAGTAGGACAAAGGAGTTGAATTCTCTGGGGAATTTCATAGGTTCAATAATGTAGTTTTATTCTAGGTTTTTTAATTAAAAGATAACGTCGCCAAAATAGTCGGCATGTTTAACATTCTAGAAGAGGGGGAGAAAAGAATTGTACTCTGTTGTAGCTTAATTTCTAGAAAATCTCTCAGAATCAGGTTTATTTGCCAGATCAAAATGTTTCTTTTTTCTTGCAGGATTCTTCATCCCTTACAATAAAATCTGCATAAAATAACCTGTGTATATTGATATATTTTAAGCTGCTTAGGCTGTTCTGCTAATTTTGATGTGGTTGACTTAGCACCGATAGCAACAATTTATTCATATAGTATCTTTAGGTTAATAAAACATCCCAAGGCATTTCATCAAAATATGGTGAACACAAAGTGTAGCATTGAACCACATAAGGAGATATTCGTTCAGATGACTAAAAATTCGGTCAAGGAAATACATTTTAAGGAGTCACTTAGAGGAAAGCAAGATTGAGAGTGAGCGGAGTAAGGAGGGAATTCCAGAGGTTTGGATGGAGATTACTCAATGCACAGGCACCAGTGATGTATCTGTTATTTTTGAGAATGGACAAGAGGCCAGAATTAGATGAGCGCAAAATATTTCTGTGAGCTGTGGAACTGGATTAGATTACAGAGATAGGAAAGAGTAAGGCTATGGAGTGGTTTGAAAAAGAAGCACGAGAATTTTAAAGTCAAGGTGTTGCATGATGGGGTGTCACAAGAAGTCAGCAAGCATGATGGTGATAAGACTTGCTGTGAGTTAAGATGTGGGCAGTAGAAGTTTGGCTAACTGACACAGCAGCAGTGATTATATGGTACTCTGATATTTATTTTGCAATGTAATTATTTTTGTTTTAAAGAGTTCTATTACAAACTCTAAGCTGGGGCTCTTGTGGTGCAGTGGTTGCATCACAACATCTGAGCCAGGAGGCCTGAGTTCAAATCCCACCTGCTCCAGAAGTGTAAAGTAGCATCTCTAAACAGGTTGATTAGGAAAATATTTATAAGCTTTAACTTTGCCAGCATTTCTAGTATTTTAAGTAGAAATGTAAATTACGTTTTGCCATTTTTAAACTAAGTGTTATTTTCAAGATGTTTCATGGCAGGTATCTGTCATGGTTCGCAATTACTTTTCTCAAGCTGTCTTCCATTCCTCACTTCATTAATTATGCAATCAGTCTCTTTGGCGATGGATGGTTGAGAGGAGAATGCTCCTCCACCTGGCAGATCATCAAGGAAGACCAAGGCACTAAACATAAACAGCATGGACACATGTAGCAGTCGGGGTCAGTAACATCTCTGGGATCAGGCAGAATCCACAGCACTGCAGGAAATGGATCACTCACCTTTTGGATTCTGAAAGGTAGGTGCCACCATCTGATCTCTGCTACCTCACACTCTCTAATTCTGCAACTACACACATGCCTCTTCCAGTCGTGGACTACCAACCTCACTATTTGCAGCATTGCCAATCATTCCTACAAATCTATGCAATCCACTGATGCTGGCAGCCTCTTAGTAAGTGCAAAGTGAGTGAGCACTAAGAAATGAAGTTAAAGCCCATAAGATGTATCCAGAGTAGATATGTGACATGGTTGTGTATCCCTGTGTGCCAAGCGACCTGAGAAAAGCATGCAAGTCAAAGGTGTCTCTGAGTTTCAAAGTGAAGTGCTGAAAGGCTGGGGTGGATTCTGAGTTGGTCTTGAGTCAGCCATGATAATGTGGTGAGATTTGTGGTTTGCCAGCCCTGAATTCAGTGGATGAAGGATAAGGAAGTACTCTGTCTGTAGAGCATTAAAAAATATGTTAGTGAAGGGAATTAAAGTGGCAATCCAGAGAAATAAGCTGCATCCACTAGGTAACCCCTTTGACTTTCAGGTCAGAAATTGTTGCCGTTTAGTTTCTCAGGAGAGAACGGGAAAACTATGCTGCATGCAAGTGAGGCAAGTTGAGGTATTATTGAGAAGCAAATTACATGTAAGGTAGGTAGTCAGTCACCTTTGATCAGTGAGATTCTGATCTCACCATTGAAACTTCAGGGATTATTTGGAAACATTTTTCTTGATGTTGAGAGTCAGGTTTTTTTCAGTTTTGGCCCATATTTCTGCATTTGTCACCAATGCCTAAATTAACCAAGGAATGGAAAAATTCCTCCTAAGGTTTTTAAATTTGACTCACATACTGTGAGCTCAAAGTGATACAAATACCTAAATTACCAAAATAAAGATACTCAGCCCCTCAGTGTAGATTTATTAATACCTAATCTGAATGCCTCAGTACAAAATTCAATATTTAAAAACCCAAGTAAAGGGAAAGCTTTAAAAACTTTTGTTCTTGACGTCTTCTCTTTTGTTGATTTCTTAAATCCTTCAT